GGGTCAGGGTGAGGAGGAATTGCCGGGAATTGCCGGGAATTGCCGGGAATTGCCGGTTCCCTGCCCGCAGACTGCCGGGAGGAGCAGTACCCCTGCACCCGGCTCTACTCCGTGCACAAGCCCTGCAAGCAGTGCCTGAACGAGATCTGCTTCTACAGGTGCGTGAGGGACGGGAAACATCCCCGAATCCTCTGATCGGGGGTTTTGGGAGCCCCTCCGCTTCACATCCCCATCCTTTCTATCCCAAACCATTCCAGCCTCCGCCGGGTTTATGTCATCAACAAGGAGATCTGCGTCCGCACCGTGTGCGCCCACGAGGAGCTGCTGCGAGGTGAGCGAGAAACCGGGACTGTCCCCAACCCAATCCCGCTTTTCCCCGAAATTCCGGGGAGGGAAAATCCGGTGAGCGAGAAACCGGGACCAGCCCCGTCCCAATCACGATTTTCCCCGAAATTCCGGGGAGGAAAAATCCGGTGAGGGAGAAACCGGGAGCGAAAAATCCAGTGAGCGAGAAACCGGGACCATCCCCAGCTAAATCCCGCTTTTCCCCGAAACTCCGGGGAGGGAAAATCCGGTGAGCGAGAAACCGGGACCATCCCCAGCCAAATCCCGCCTTTCCCCGAAATTCCGGGGAAGGAAAATCCCGCAGGACCAAAGCTCCCGAGATGCCCAGAGCAGAACGAGGTCGGGATGTGGGAGGGGGTCGGGGTGTGCCCCGATGGGTGGGGGTCTCTCCCTGCTCCGGGGGTCTCGGGAGCTTTGGTCCTGCGGGATTTTGGGATGGGGCCGGGATGTGGGATGGGGTCCGTCCCCGTTTCTCCCTCACCGGATTTTCCCTCCAGGGAATGGGCAGGGAGATGCTTCTTCCCCATCCTGAAATTCCATCCCCTCTCCCCCTTATCTCCTGTCCCCCTGTCCCCGATGGGGCGGGGGTCCCTCGTTGCTCCCAAAGCCCCCGAGACCCCCGGAACACAGCAGGGTCGGGATGTGGGGTGAGGACGGGGGGACTTCCCTCGCTGCTCTCCCGGATTTCTCCCGGTTATCCCGGGATAACCCCTCGCTCCCCGCAGCCGACCTGTGCCGGGACAAGTTCTCCAAGTGCGGGGTGATGG